AAAACCAGTTTGCTGAACATCTGCACCAGTCCTCAACATCTGATACCTTTATTCTATGCATTAAAACCTCTGCCAGATCACTTCTTCAAAGCAAGCATGGCCATATCCAAGCTGAGGACACTCTCTCACATCAATCATGGCCACTTTAAGTACAGGTCAACGGAGAAATGGAACAAAAAAGGAACAACACCTGGTTTATGGAAGTGGTCTCCTCTAAATCTGCCATCTTAGACCATTTCCTCACTGTATGGGTTTATAAGGACCCAAGTAGTCTTTCCATGCTGGTTTTTATCCCTCAAAAATACAGGTTTCAAGAAATCCATAAGCTGAAGTTAGCATTTGGACTTCAAATGCTACGTATGTACATTCATTATCCTACCGTAAGCTGAATGTAGACTACCACAATTTGTGCTGAACATGCCGATATAAAAACACTGTAATTGTGGTTGTTGCTTTGATTTATCATCTTTCCAAAGATGTTTTGACAGATATCCACCGTCTATTAGTATCTCGGAGTGCTGGAACAACGGAAAAAGAGCTCGTTTTCAAATGCATGCTGTTTTTAAGCCATTTCTCGTTCAGCATCTCTAATGGGAATTTCAGAACCAACGGCTGTGTCATGCACTTTTCCAGAAACTTTCCTGCAATCTTTGCATGTCAGATCCTTGGAGAACAGCAAAGTCCTTAAGCCAGGAGTCAATGAACTGCACAGCACCTGGAGGAATGGCTTTGATTTTCATACAATGTGTAAACCCTGGACAATAGAGCCCAGTCTAAGAGCTGAACTGATATTTAGTCTTACATAAAGCTCAGATCCCTTTGTCTGGATCCTGGACACTAGATATTCCTCATACGCTTTAGGCAAAGAGAGAGACAGATCTGCTCTTTTGTACGAAACAAAGGCACCTTGACAGAGTCTTCTGCATAGCCCTTAAATGGTAGTATGTACAAGATATTGTCTCTAGAGCAGTGATCATCACACACTCTGATAGTACCACTGACATTTTTAATGCATTCTATTTAATTGCAGAAGGTGTCTTCTCTGATGAATGTACTATTTAATTTTTCTTTTCTTGTCTTTTTAATATGATTGTATATGCAACCATTCAGTAACCATAAATATTTAAAATTGCTTATTAGCATTCTGGCACCACGATATGGCTTGGGTCCCTCCTTCATTGTAAGTCTACTGAACAAAATTTATCGCCAGCCAAGCGAAAAGCATAAATCTGATCAATTAGAGAGGTAATAGCACACCTCTCCTTTAAAGGAACAGTTGACATAAAATTTAACATTTGCTTAAATATTTTCACTCTCAGGCCATCCAAAATGTAGAAGAGTTTGTTTCTTCATTGGAACAGATTTGGAGAAATTTAGCAATTAAAGTGAAAAGCTACATGTATGTAATAAACAATCCATCATTAGGACATTTTAAACCTCAAACTATTGCTTCTGATGAAAATATGGTCAAAATATAGAGTTCTCTATCCATAGAGAAATATGCAAATTTTTGGGTGAACTAGCTATTGTTTTAATAATAAACTTTAATAATCCTTTCAAGTTTAATATGTGAGCTCAGGCATAAGTTGAGCAATAATACCAGTGATGCCTTAGCCAGCAGCACTATGAACACCATAATATAGACTAGTAAAACATTCCATATAGACATGGATTTGGTTACTGAAAATTCATGTGCTAGTGTGAACAACAGTGTGTAATTTATGAGCAACAAATCATATGCAGCTGAGGTCTCAGAGTTATTCAAAGCGTTCATCTCAGTCGCAAAACAGTCTCAACAATCATAAAGTCCTGTGTATGGAAGGGAAGTACAGTCATCCAAGGGCCTGCAGCAGTAAACAGGCAATCTGAACGGAATGCAACAGTCAGGGATGACTACTCTGACACAATAATAGTTAGAGTTACAATAACAGTTGCATATATTCAAAGAATAAGAAATGCATCCCACACGTACAAAGTGTCACAGTTGAAACAATGACGAGTTTAGAGTTTGAGGTGGACAATCTACAATTATCCACACTTATCTGAGAAAATACTATACCCTTGGATATGATTTGTGCATTATATTTTCACAACATGCACTTGACCACTGCTTGATTTTTTTAACTATATTATATAATGAATAAAAGATGCAATTAACCCTAATGCCCAAACTGAAAAGGCACCCAATATAATATAATATAATAAACTTACTGAGATAAACAAGAGACATGTGCTTAGGGTTTCTGAATATCGCAGTGCACATTTGTGCAATACATTTTCCCAGCAACATTACCAGTGTATTAATGAATTCAGTGCCATTTATATTATTACATTACATTTTTATTGTACATTATATTTTCCCAGCATGCTGTTTACCAGGGCTTGAAATTATTTGTGACATGTGGCAAATATAGGTCAGTGAATTTTACAGTCTTCAGAGCCACAGTATGCCTTTGTAGAGTTTACATAAACCCTGGAAAGATTCTGACCTTGCATTAAACTGCAGAAACCCCAGCTATCCTGTAAGACCTTGCATTAAACTGCAGAAACCCCAGCTATCCTGTAAGACCTTGCATTAAACTGCAGAAACCCCAGCTATCCTGTAAGGATGCATCTGCAGACACGTTACAGATTCCATACATGCTTCGTGTCATACAGTAGTGCACTGTACCTTATTACTGAGATTCTCTTTGTTGTTCCCAGCTTTACTTCTTCTCAGTTTGATGGAAGGCGTGAGGAGCAGATTTTTAATCCGACTTTTGATAGTTGTGTTTTCCACTGTCATCTTGATTCGGTGTGCTGTTGAGTCAATGTTTCCAGCAAACACACGACGGGGCAGCTGAAGCCCTTCGCTCTACAATCACAGTCGGTAATCAATTAAACGATACGCTTCTAAAACAAGCCATGATCTGTTCACAGCCTTGTATTTCATATAACGTTACTAAACCAGTTGCACTGTACCTTATTACTGAGATTCTCTTTGTTGTTCCCAGCTTTACTTCTTCTCAGTTTGATGGAAGGCGTGCGGAGCAGATTTTTAATCCGACTTTTGATAGTTGTGTTTTCCACTGTCATCTTGATTCTGTGTGCTGTTGAGTCAATGTTTCCAGCAAACACACGACGGGGCAGCTGAAGCCCTTCGCTCTACAATCACAGTCGGTAATCAATTAAACGATACGCTTCTAAAACAAGCCATGATCTGTTCACAGCCTTGTATTTCATATAACGTTACTAACGGAGCTTTAAATCGCGTGCGGCAGTCCTGTCGGTGAGAGACGCGCTCCTCACTAGCGTCCATTTGTTCAAATGGGGCATGTTTCGTGTTTAGAGTCAGCAGTTTGACGGCGAGCCGGTCTGAAAGCTCCGCGAATCACCTCCAGCCGTGATACCTTCACCGGTGCGATGTGTGTATTTAAAAATTCTACTACTGTAAAGGCCAGGCTCATGAATATTAATTATGCAAGGCGACGGTTTTTTCAGTCGGCGTTTCTGATTGGCTGAAAGGTTGACGTCTGGAGGCGGGCGGTAGGCAGCTGACCAATTAACGATTTCTGTTGTGGGGGAACGCTTGGCTCCTGAATATGAATGAAATGACGTGATTTGATACCCCTGGAAGGGTACGAATTGGTGCGTGCTACCCAACTTTTTGTTATTTCAGATAGATATGAAAAATTATATTGAGTTACTACTTGGTTTGAAAAACAGTAAAGCAAAACGCACTAGGTCTTTTTGTGAAGCTTTCTGTTATTTATATGATGATCTCATACCTGTTCTTTTTTCTGTTTAGTTATTTTTAAATTATTTTTATTTATTTATTTTTACCTGTATTATTATTTATATAATACTGTATATTTTCTATTTCTTTTTTGTAGTTTCTATTTGTTCAGTACCTTTATATTATATGTTGGAAATCAATAAAAAAAAATGTAATAGTAGTATACATTAAATACACATCACGCATGACTACTAGGTGGACTATACTGTACATATGGGCGGTTGTGTGATACAGCAGTTTTCTTAAGGTGTAGACAATTCGTTAACTCAAGGAAAAGTGTTTCTTTTGATGTTTGCAGATATTAGGACTAATAGTAGAACTGAAAATTGTGGCATTATTATATTCATTTCCCCAGTTGGAGATATAACTCAGTTTTGCAACTTGGTAGCTGGTTTAAGCTGGTCCAAGCTCAAATGTACCATCTTGGATCAGCAAACAAACCAGCTACCTGCTGGTCATTGCATCTACTGCATAAATGCCCTTTGCATTTTACAACAATGGTTCCAATGTAAACACTGCATGGTTGCAATTCTCCAGTCTAGACCCATGTCATTCTGTGATATCCATGTAGATTTCCATGCACATAAACTTTGTAATATACATTTTCCAAGTACTCTAATGGAAAGACAACAAGGAGATGTCATAAAAACAGGGGCATGATGGCTGACAAATAAAGATTTATGAAGAACAAATTCAGCCGGCTGTACCATTCAGACTGAAAATAGCAGTAATTGAATGACAAATGCAACTGCTTAAAATTCAACAGATTTATCACTTCATTCCCTAACCCTTTGTTGATAAAAAGGGTTAAAAAGGTTACTAACACTGACAAATTAACATTTAGGCTATTTGTTGGACTGAATTATGGTTGGTGCATACCTATAATTTTATACAAGTCTGCCATCTAGTGATTACTTAGTTTTTTTTTTCATTCAACCGTAAACTCAACCTGACTAGCACACAGTATATGGCCACCTTTACAGCAATTGAAATTTAGATAGAACTCAATTGACATTTGAAACAGGGAGTCAGACATACACAGATACAAGATGCACCGTTTATCTATAACAAACAACTATATCAGTAAAATCTTACATTAATGGTTACAATATAGGAAATTATACACACACAAAAGCATGAAAACACAAGCACAAGAATATTAAAACATTAGATACATCAACTAACAATTGTGCAACTAGACAAGTGTGGGAGGTCTTTTAAAAGATCATTTTTTCATGTTTTTACTATATTGAGTTTTGCCCGTTCTGTCTTTGGAACCACCATGAAGTTGGATCACACTGAGCGGTTTCTCTGAAGGCCCTTCCAAATCTTGTTTCTTACCTACCTGTAAGACCTTTCTAACCCAGTTTGCCAACACAACCAGTTCACAGTGTCCTTGCTGCATGTGGAAAATTAAAGGATCAAGACATGCATTGAGACAGTACAGTATCTGGGAGGCTTCAGAGAGCAGGTTGACCACCCATGCAACCCAGCAAGCGTTTTTGCAGTGATCCAAACTGAAGAAAATGATACAGGCGATGATGTGAAGCAGCTGCCCTGGCACCCAACAAACCAGGAAGTTGGCAATGAAAACCGCAATCAGCCAGATGCTCTTGTCCAGGCCTTGCATGTTGCCTGGGCCCCACTGTTGCCGTGACTGCTTCATCCGGGAAATGATCTTCACATAGGAGGGAATGATGAGGAGCAGTGGGACAGAAACCTGAATGGAGTAATAGGACAGATGATTGTAGGTTGCTTCAGTGGTCCTGAACCTGGAGATCACCACTGCTCCACACACATGGATGCCATCCTTCCTGACCCAGTAGAGAATGTTAGGATAACTGAAATAGATGAAGAGGCCGGTGATGGCCCAGAGTAGAACCGAAACCAGTGCGCTGTTCCGAGGGGTCCGGATCATCCGAGACTCCAGAGGGAAGACGATTGCAAGGAAGCGGTCGGTGCTGATGGCGCAGATGAACATGGTACTAGACGTCAACCCGCCAAAGTATAGGATTTTCACCACCACGCAGAGTGAATGGCCAATTTTCCAGTGGTAGTCAGAGCTAATGTAGACAGCCCAGGGTCCCATAGATGCCAGATAAGCAAGGTCACATAGAGCCAGGTTCAGTACACCTATGGACCCAATACTCCAAGGTTGGGATGGACGCAGGCAAGCCCACAGGCTCCAAAGGTTTCCAATTGTTCCAAGAATGGAAAGTGTGTAAAAGATGAGAGGTATGAAGTTGGAGGCGTACATGCGGTTGGAGGGACAGTCCATGTAGGGAACCAAAGGAAGGGCCAAATCACTGGGGTAGGTGCAGTTCCAAGCCCAATAAGAACGGTTGTTTACTGCCGACATTTCTTATGCTTGGTCTATTCTTTTTAAGAGAAAAGAGCTAAATTAGTAACCTACCGCTTGTAAATTATTATTCTTAGCTTCCCAGCACCACTTTGGTCTGGATGCTAAACTTAAGCGGAATTTCAGTCTCATCTCATTCAACACATTAAGCAAAATATGCATTAAAGAATGGATGGATCTTACCTTGAGAAAGCTGAAAGAAGTTGGACTAGACCTATTTGTCAACTGCTGTATATGAGCCCTGATCCCTCCTTGAAATACATACGTACTTGCTCTTGGGAGTTACGTGCAAGGTAAAGACCATGAGTTGATAATTAACTGCTTCTGTAATTGTCTAAAGTCTCTACGCTTCTATTTTTTTGTACAACTTGTTAATAGCGACCAACTGATGGGCTACATTTCCCAAAAGCACCTTAAGCTTAAGTATGTAATAGTGACCATATGGTTATTTTAAGATCGCTGGGATTTACTGATAGCCATGTCCATTTAGCCAGTTTTGTTTCAATATCTTCCAACAACCTTGTTGGAGTAACAAACAAACTGTTGTCTTTATGTGAAAAAATATGCTTTAGTGAGTAAAATATGCTTTATGAACTTAAGCATGTTTATTTACATATCACTTTTCATCATTTCATTTTTGTATTATGTATTAAACAGCAGAATTTGCTCAACAGCTAATTGGCAAATGTAAAATTACATTCTAATAAAAACTATCTACAAAAAACTCAACACATTTGAAGTCGAAGGAGCACATTTTAGACTAAGCCATGGTATAAAGAAGAATGAAAATGACATCTTTTTAATCTTGTTTTTTTTTTTAAATCAACCAGAATGCCCAAAATCATGAATGTTAATGTACATTTTAAAAACATTAACTTTTCACAGACTTGTGTACATTTTTATTGACTCAAAAAGACATTCATCTCTTTTACAAAGAAGGTGAGGGAGCACTGATTTATAGCATATAAAAAAATAAGTATTTAAACAGTTCGCAGACTAACAAAAAGGAATCGATTTTACATATTTACAATAACCAAGAAAGGTTATATCAGCCAATATGCAGACTTTTAACAAGCTAACATTTACAAAATAAACCAGTGTAGCATTAAATATATACAAGAACATAAGCAGTGTGACTGCATCTCGTTTTATGTAGCTTTTAACATTTCTGTGTAGTTTGTCTGTACCTGTTTTATCTAAATATAAAGCAAAACAATTGCATAGTGATGACTACATTTTAAGCTCAAACTGAAAGATCTCTTAAAGTTAACCGCCTCTCTTGATGTGTGACAATTGCGTTACAACACTAAAATGCTTCAGACATCGTAATTTATGTTGCTATTGAGGTGGGGAATATGAAAATAGGGGTTCACAACTAAAAAGCTCAAATGCAATAAACTTACTGCACTCAAACGTCACCTATTACTTGCAAAACAAACAAAAAGACATAAGAATTAAAACTGCAGTACTAACACATCGGAATAAACCTCAGAAGTGTCATTCTTTTATTCCCAAGCTCCTAATGCTATTGTAATAAGTTTACTATTCCCTAAGACAACAATCCTACGTCCCAATATGCATATAGAAGAACCTTTTGAAAGGCACTCAACATAAGATATAAAGTTTCGTGTATATAAGATAGCTTTTCTGTAACAAGAACACAGACTGTTTGTACTGAATTTAACATCTATTATTGCCTTAACATGCATTGATGTAATGAGTTTAATCAACAGTGGTGTAAGTTTCATCTAGATGCAAAGACAATGACATTTGCCTGATCTCATTAGCAGATACATTCAAGGGTGAAGTGGCCTTACTGTTAAAAGTCACTGGGCAAAATTATTTATTCCTTAAAAGGTCACCTGGAAAACAGCCCTAATGATCCCACAAAATCCCCATCGCAAACAATTATGATCAGCTTCACCTTCACTGTGCTAAGGGAGAAACAATCCTATGTTTAACGATCAAGTAAATGTTTTCTTTTTCTTTTATTTTTGAACTCCAATGGGAAAGAAAAACATGCTCCAATATGGAGGTTAGAATGAGTAAACGGCTTCTTTCACAACTATTGCCACAAAGAGTGGATACACAATTGCTAGCAAAACCAGTCAGATACCTTAATGGTCTAGTAGTCTGAGTGTTCAAAAAAAAAAAAAAAGGTGAATGAACCAAAACATCTTTGGATTTACCAGAGGCACAATAGGTGGTGCCCACGGCAGCAGGACTTACACAGCAAACAAACAATAAATACATTTTTTAAAAATCCTATTTTGTACATAAACATGTTAAACGTGAGCAGCAGCTATACGTGATTCATAGATCGGTAGATCACATTTGAGGTCTATGAACGTCTTCCTCATTTGAGTCCGGTTTGAAAACTGGGGAGCCGGTAAACTTATTCACAACAGCATCTTGAGCCTTTAACCCAAGAGGAACCAGTTTAGGCATTGGCCGCCATGCCACACTGGTCCCTTCATTGGCTGACTGACCTGATGCAGCTTCACATGCAGCTTTCATGTGCAACAGAGGTGGTAGAGTAGGGGCATCACATTTAACGCTGCACGCTGGGGCTTGTGGACTTTGAACATTTGTTGATGGTGCAACCCCAGATTCGGATGAAACCGAAGGTGAATCTGATCCAAAAATGACTTTGACCAAGTCGTCCACTTTGGGTGGGATATCGATTTCATCTTTAGAGTCTGGAGACATTAGATCTTCATCCAGAGTTAGAAACAAGGGACTGAGAGCACGGTCATCATCCTGTTCTAGATCTGCCTGCTTGTCCGAACATGCCTGTACCTTGCCTGACACAACAATTCTCTGATCTTCATCTTTGTTACTCAGCTGCTGGCTAAGGAGAACAAGTTCGTCTAACAAAGACAGTAGATTTTCATCCTCAGGATCATTGCTGTCATCCGGACCTTTCTTGTCCAGTCCTTCCTGGTTGGATGAAGTAACAGATGCACTGTTCTCATCTCCTCCAACAGGTTGTTTGGGGACATCCTTGGATTGAGGCTCATCCACAACTGCCCTTTCCTCCAAATCTGGAATTTTAACATCTGAGGGGTACTGCTGATTTTCCACAGGTGCAGGGACAGATGTTGGCTGTGCCAGGACAACAGATGTATCTTCCACAACTTTCTGTGGTATTACCAGATTCTCCGCCGGTGGAACCAGAGAAATAACATTGGTGATATTTGGAAGGTTGGCGGAATCCACTGAAAATGAGGCATTGTAAATTAAAGAAATTATACCCATATGAATATCACTGAAGTATGGAAGCCCATTTCCACCACTGAATTAAAAAAAAAAAAAAAAAAAGGTATTTGCAACTTTTTTCCTTAGAATTCTGAGAAAGTCAGAATAGCGAGATATAACTAGCAATTCTGAGTTATAAAGTCAGAATTGTGATATAAACTTGCAATTTCAAGTTACAAAGTCATAGCTAGTTTATATCTAGCAATTCTGACTTTTTTGCCACTCACAACTGAGTTTATATCTTGCAATTCTGACTTCTCTCAGAACTGAGATATAAACTCACAAATACTAGTCAAAGTCCAATTCAGAGTGGAAAAAGACCAATTATGACTTTATAACTCACAATTGCGCTATAGTCAGGATTTTGAGATATAAACTCGCAATTCTGACTTGATTTCTCAGAACTGTGGCTTTTGTTTCTCAGAATTGCAGGTTTATATCACACAATTCTAACTTTAAATGTCTCACTTGCAAGTTTACATCACGCAATTCTGAGGAAAAAATTCAAGAGTTGAGAGAAAGAAAAGTCAGAATTGTAAGAAAGTGTCACAATTACCTTTTATTTTTCATTAATTGGCGAAAACAGACTTGTAGTCAGCTTATGAAAAATTAATAATTTGATTCAATAAATATGACTATATCAGCCAAGGAAACTTACCTTGTGTGTTAATGTTAACAGGACTGTTTGTAATTTTGATGAACTGAGGCTGCAATAATGGAAGGGGATTTTCCACTCCAACCGGGTGAGATACTGAAGGAACTATGGACACAGATGCTACACCTAGTTAAAAAAAAAAGACCACAATGTTGGTTATCAACATCACTTACTTTATACATAACATTTTTAAAATCGTCTTTGACCTATTCAGACACACACCTGGTGTGGATGATTGCTGTGTCCCTACTGAGGTGATGCCAATTGGTTGAAGTGGGTTGTTTATGGTTATGATTTGATTGCATGGAACCATGGTATTCATCAGAGGGAATATTTGAGGTATACACACTAAACAAGAGACATCGAAAAGTGTGAACATCCAAAAACCAGTTCCAACCAAGTCAAGTCAACATGTTTAATACACGAGTTTCACAATTTGAGTCGAATTACTGAAATAAATGAACAACATTCTAATTTATTGAAATGCACCTGTATGTATATTTTCTTCTCTGACTAACCATTAGTTAAAAGAGGTTCTCCTTGTATCAACTGGGATGAAGCACGGGAGAGAATGTTTGGCCGAATTCTGTCGCGTGGTATTGAGGAATATTTTTTAGGACTTGGGACAGAGACAGGTTTCTTTTGTGGACTGGAGTTAAAAGATGGCTGAGAAGGTTTAGATGTGCTACCTTTCTCTTTATCCTGAGTTTTAGGAGTGTTTTTGCTGCTATCGAGGTTTGCAGGTGAGGCTGTTGGTGCAGATTTGGAAGCACTTTCAGTATTTTCCAGGCTTTTTTGTTTTTTAATACTCAAGTCCATCGGTTTGGAGGGAGAATAGGTGGGTTCGGGAACATCTTTCAATTTGTTCTGGTATGCTAAACCTTTCTGTTTACTTCCAAGATCAGCTAGTTTAGGTTTGGGCATTGCCTCATTCAGCTGGGACTTCATCTCTTTTGCTTTAGACTGGGTTTCCAGGGCTTTTTGTTTAGCAATAATTTCATTAAGCTTCTGGCTGATGGACTCTGTACTCTTGTCTGTGGACAAAAACAGATATACTATTTGTTAGCAAAACACAGATGTTCAAGCATTCGCATTATATCTTATAATATAAAAATATATCACAAATATGATGTTGCTGATCTGTTATAACAACTTGTGTGCAAGAAAAAAATTATTCCACAGTCTGAAGGACTGCCTTACCACACAATAGTGAAAGTGTCTGTAGGTAACGTTCTCTCTTAAATTGCAGTCTCTGTCTTTTTTTTACTAAGCGGTCATCCTGCTTAACCAGGGACTCAATCTCTTTCTGAGCCTTCAAAGTAAAAAAAAAAAAATGACATAAACAATATTTTCAATGTGCTTACAAACATGAAATGAAGCAAAACCAACAACAAACCATTGTAAGGATTCTCATTTTGGAGGTTTCAAAATTTTTTGAAGGCTTTCCGAGTGTTGCCTGAAGTTTAAGAAAGCACTCTTTAAGTGTGCAGCGCCTTATTCTCTCCAGCCACACTCTCTGCACAAAGAGGTTTTATAACACAATGCATGAAATATATTACATGTTACAAAACACAGAGAAAGGGTTGGATCAGTCATTTGAAAAAATTTGTGTGTGAAACTGAGGATAAAACTTACCCTGACCTTCACCTCCAAACTTTCATTATGAATGTGCCTCCGGTTACTGCAAAACATTTAAAAGTAATGTAATTTTGTTGATTTTTGAGGACAGGAATTGGTTCATTTTCATAAGCAAAGCATCTATTTCCAGATGTGTTCGTAGTGTAGATGTGGACCAGGTCAAATAACAATAAAACATAAAAATAATGCAAACCATACTTCTACATAATCAGACGTTAATCAGGTGTGCATTACCTTAGATGTTGACTCCTCCTCAATGCAGATGTCCGAAATTTGGCAATACTGTTTTCCTCGGCAGACTCTTCAATGGTCTCAATATCAACCACCACCTCTGCAAAATCTTTCATCTCAGAGCCCAAACCATCTGTATCCAACATCCTCTCCACTTGATCAGAACCCTGGATAACAGGAAAAATAGAACTAGCCTGAACAAGCAATATAACAGTTTGTTGATATACATAAAATTATTCTGAAAAGGTGAAAAGAGTCAAAATTACAAAGCTCTTACACTCAAACTGTATGTATCTTCTCGGTCATCATCACTGTACAGGTCAGAGTCATCAGTTAATTCGGTTACGTCCGAACCAATCTCTTCCTCGTCAGAAACTGGAGCTATGTCAAAATCTTTTTCTGTCACTTTGGGATTAGCTTTGTTACCAGTCTCAGCCAAACTTGAACCACCTCCAGAAAACTGGCTGGGTTTTGGAGAGGAGGCACCAGAAGATGGAAGCTCGGATATATTTTCTGCTATTCGTTCAGAACCGTCACATCTATTTTGTTTAGAAGGATCCATCTCAGATTGGTTATGGACATGACCGACTGCCTCCTCTGTTGAAACTGAGCTTACAGAAATAGCGGTCTCAGACTTAGTGGAGTCTTGGTTGTATAGCGTTGAACTTCCATGCTTAAGCAATGTAAAGCCACTCTGAGGGAGGACAGGGGAGGACGTTGGAGCGATAATTCCAGTGTTTTGAACAGGATGTGGTGGGAGAATTCTCAATGTACAAGTGCCAGACTGTCCCAGAAAACCTGGAACAACTTTAAGGGTAGAAGGAATGCTGCTCAATGAGACTGCCTTGGATGAAGTGAGTGTGACTGGCTTGGCACTCATAGATGAAGATGTAGAGACTGGTACAGTGACAGCAGGCTTTGTCTGCATTTGTAGTATTGGGCTGAAAGATTTGACTATGGTGGCGCTGCCACCCTGAGGCTTTTTTGGATTGACTGCAGTAGGTGCGGGCAAACGGATAAAGGTGGCTGCAGGGGAAAAAACATAATTAATATGTCTTTTGGGGATAAGCACACATTTGTTTTGCTATTTCTCCAAAAAAGTTTATGAACCTGAGTAGAATAATCTTTAGACCATGCAGTGCAAAAATGACCACAAGAATTTTGATATTAAACACTGTTTGCAAGCAAAACACTAACAAATTAAACCATTAAAGTGAATTTAAATGCTATTCGAAAACACTTTTAGTTTACATGTTTAACAAAATGGCTAAATGTGCTCATAACCGGTTTTTAATTTTCTTAACTGATTTATAACAGCTTTACTTATTTAGTTATAATTATTGAACTAAATATAAGGCTTATATGCGTTCCTGTAGCTCAAGCAATAGAGCAGGGGTGGCGAACGTCGGTCCTAGAGCGCCGCAGCCCTGCAGAGTTTTGCTTCAACCCTAATCAAACACATCTGAAGAAGCTAATCAAGGTCTGAACGGTTACTAGGAAGCTACAGGCAGGTGAGTTTTAATTATTGTTGGAGCTGAACTCAGTAGGGGTGCGGCTCTCCAGGACTGGAGTTCGCCACCCCTGCAATAGATTATGACGCAAGCAAAGCCAATGTCATGGGTTCGATTTCCAGAGAAAGCAAGGACTGCCAAAATGTAAATGCGCACCTTGAATGCAAAGTGGCTTTGGATAAAAGTGTGTACCAAATGTGTAAATGTTAAACATCTATATTCACAGGGGTTTTTTTCAGAACCAATTAATATGGTATTAAAGAAACCACTTACGTTGGCCTTGAGATAGGAGGTTGGGTTTGATAGCTTTGATTTGACTTAAAGGCACCAACTGCAATAGCTGGCCATTAGGATTACGGTACAATGTGTTGCCATCAGCGGTCTTCACCACCTGAAGCAGCACCTTTTGGTTTTGGGTCTGTGGGGGCCGAGTCTGTGTGACAGGCTTTGTAAACCTTGGACCACTACTGGTGAGGCCTTTACTACGGGACATAACTGTGATATAAACTTTCTTTTTTCCAGGAGTGGTCGATCCAGGTGAAGAGACAGTGGTTGCTGGGGTTAGACCAGACCCACCTGAAAATAGGGAAAATATTTATTATGGCAACTAAAATGATAACGAATGATGACGGTGACACATTATATTCACAATAGCAAATCTGCTAATATAATATGAAAAACATAAGGAGCAGTCACACTGGTCGCTGTATTCCCATTAGTAGCTGGCACAATGTCACTGTGCATTTACAATCAAGCCGAACAATGCTCACCTCAGTTGCATTGCAAATGGTCTATGAAACTTATATATGACCACAAATCGCCAGGTAATTGAAAATGTGTAACTGGTTGCTTTGCTTTAAACAAGTTAATCAGGATATGATCAACAATTACCATATATTTCACAATGCTGAATAAATCAATATAAATTTTTTTTTTTTTAACCACTGTAAACATGGTGTCACACATCTTTAAATCTCTGTTTGTGCAAGGGAAAGATCTAATGTTAAGATATAATGTGTCATGTCAAAATCAAAAAAGGTTTTGTTGAAGTTTGGCATCAATAGAAGCACATGAAAGATTTAAATTACAATAGCAGTCACAAATGATGATAAAAGACGACCATGGCAGGGGTACACAAAACATAGGAAGATGATCCAGCATCATACATTTAAGCTGCAGCAAGCTCTAAATCACAAGCACAGACCCATATGAAGGCCAAGTATGTTAAATTCTCCCAGCAGATGCATGGCCAAGGTTTTGTTGGAGGGGCAAGCACAGACACACAATGGCAAACCAAGGAAGCCAGGCTTACCCAGAGGGAGGCTGGGTGATTTATTGAGGATGGTGATGGCAGGGGCTTGGACTTTTGATACAGTGGGAAAACTGGCGCTACCTGTGGAGTCTGAGGGCTTAGACACCTGGGTAACCAAGCCTGCTTTAACAGGAGAAAGAGCCACCACAGAAGCCCCAGCCTCTCTGCCAATCATCAACATGGAGGAGGGGATGGCAATTTTTGGAATGGAAGGCTGTAATTGTGAGGTGCTAGTGTTGGTCAGATTTTGAGAGTTGATGTGGTTGACCACAAACTGGGTGAAGACCTTTCCCACTGGGGGCTTGGTCACTGTGCAAAAAACAAATTAAGGAGCAGGTTAAATCTGCTACTTAAGTTATATGCATATTCACATGCAGTAAAGCTGCATAAATGAAAGGGTGTTACGCACTGCTCAAAAATATACTGGATGTCCAATATTTTGGTCAATAACCTTGAGAGCAAAATGTTTAGAGGTAAAACTGTGAACCTTTCCTTGACTTACCTACAGACTTGATGAGCGGTTTGGCTGTAGAAGCAGACGTGCTTGTAACTGTGGTTACTGTGGACACAGTCGAGACCGGAACGGATGTGATAGAGGCCTTTGTAACAGTTGATGTTGATACCACGTTAGGTCCAGACTGACTGACTGGACATATTCTCCCTGTAATATAAGCTGCCAGTCTGTTGGCAGGGTGCAAAGCTCCCATCTTTCCCAGCTCTAATTTGGCTTGTGGGTATGTCTTTCCATTAACCTGCAAGAACAATTGATCACAGGTTTCGAAGGTCAAGTTCTAGTCCATTCGAAAATAACCATAACTCAAAAGTTAATTTAAAGCTGCAGTTCGTAAGTTTTGCCTCTTTGTCGCCATCTCTGTTTGAAAACCTGCAATTGCAGCTGTTTGTGGAATTATCTTACTTGCATGGGTTGTGTGCTGGCATGGCTCCAGCGTGGATTAATCTAATATTTTGAGGAGTATGTGTGGCAGTCAGTCACCGCACCGGTGTGGATATTTACTGTACTTTGCAATCACAGATTCTAGCCAAACCTCTTGGAATATATTACCCAAATAAGAATTTTTACCGTATATTGTCATCAAGTAACAAGTCTGCCATGTTTGTTCGGACCAACTGACTGACTGGACATATTCTCCCTGTAATATAAGCTGCCAGTCTGTTGGCAGGGTGCAAAGCTCCCATCTTTCCCAGCTCTAATTTGGCTTGTGGGTATGTCTTTCCATTAACCTGCAAGAACAATTGATCACAGGTTTCGAAGGTCAAGTTCTAGTCCATTCGAAAATAACCATAACTCAAAAGTTAATTTAAAGCTGCAGTTCGTAAGTTTTGCCTCTTTGTCGCCATCTCTGTTTGAAAACCTGCAATTGCAGCTGTTTGTGGAATTATCTTACTTGCATGGGTTGTGTGCTGGCATGGCTCCAGCGTGGATTAATCTAATATTTTGAGGAGTATGTGTGGCAGTCAGTCACCGCACCGGTGTGGATATTTACTGTACTTTGCAATCACAGATTCTAGCCAAACCTCTTGGAATATATTACCCAAATAAGAATTTTTACCGTATATTGTCATCAAGTAACAAGTCTGCCATGTTTGTTCGGACCAAAAAAAAGCATTACAATAAAACGCGTTACCAATGGTGATTTTTACCAATGGTGATCGGTTAGCTCATATCACATCAAACCATGCAAATTATTATTATTTTTGTTATACTTTATTCTCAAATTATTAATGTTAACAGCATCAGCATTGCCTATAGTGTGTATTGTGTGTAGATTTCAATTTCTGCACAGTCTAATCTAATTGTCATACCATTCAAATTTCATATTAAGAAATTCTTTTAACCCAAAAAGCAAATTATGCTCCCTTCGAACTGGTTGTCTTTAAAATACAAATCGTGTTTAATCCCAGGCTATCTATAATCAGAAGCACATTTAAAACTAGAATATAATTTAATTTCGTTCACATGTATTTCATAATCCATATAACACATAATCCTTTCTGGATTACAATCCGCCATCAAAATGATACATGTAATTATTCTAGCTGCTGTGAGAAAAGGTTATAAACGACCCGCCACCTGCAGGATCCTCACATGCGATAGTAGCCAGGACAACTTCTTTATGTTTACAGACGTGACGTAATGACGCGGCAGCATGCTCGAATTTCCCGCGAAAACCTACCCGTACCACTCAAATTACAAAACATTATTATAAGCTAACCGTTGTGAATCGGGCTAAAGTAAGGCATTCGTTTTGAACACTGGCTGGTTATGTACTTGCTCAAATATTGATTTCTGATAATTTTTAACCAAAAAAAAGTTACGGACTGCAGCTTTAAATACATCTAAATGGTTTTATCAGATAACTGAATGCATACCGTTATCCGTCCTGGAGCATCAGGTGCTTTTTTCTCGGCCTTGAGCAAGCCTGCAGGGCAACACCTGGAGAGGAAGGGCAGACCTTTCACCTCACTCTTTTCTACCTCCTTTTTCAGCTCAGTTTTTTTTTGTGTAACCTTCTCATCTTCTGTTTTCTTCTCCGCAGGTTGAGAGATGATGACTTTGTATGTATCGACAGAACCATCCTCTTTCTCTTGTAGAGTCTTTGAGACTGGCTGAATGAAGTACTTGCCAATCCAGAAAGGATGCTTCAAACGATCCTGAGCCATGTGCTCACATACTATCTGCATAATGTAATTTCTGGTGTCCGTACTAGCCCAACTGCATTCAGATATGATCTCAAGTCGCTTGGCAGGGCCAGACAAATTAAGAGGTACAAGCTCACCCTCCTCAATATCTGTGAGCAGAAGGAAAATAGGGTTTTCAATAGGGATGCTCCGATCGATCGGCCGGAAATTGGTATCGCCAAATAATCACATTTTATGACTCGATAGGTACTGACTACACTTGGCCGATCTCACGAACCGATCACAATTTGATGACGTACATGATGCGTGAGGACATAAATGTTTTGGCGCCACAGTCATGTCATCGCCGGTGTGGAAATGCTATGACATTTCAAGAAACAATGAAAAATTTGCTATTTGTCGTGTATGTTTTGCCTGATGATATGATGAATGGATGGTTCATTTTTAACAGCAGATTCAGTGACGTTAGAGCTGATCTACGCCTCACTGCACATATATGCAGCACGTTACGGCTCCACGGGAACTGGGAGCTGATCGCGGCCGCTCTAGTCAATGCTTGTGTTTATACCAGCCAGCCGCGGCATGTTTCTGAAGCTGCTCTCTGCGCTGTTTGGCTAAAAATAGTCTTTAGTGAGTTGTCACAGCGTGGAGGACGGAACAAAACTTCGTCGGAGCCATAAGGGATAACGGTAACATAATACGCTGATTGTGGGCTGCTTTTAAATGAACATTTATTTATAAAACAAAATATCTTCTTTGGCCATATTAGCCTGCTCAATAGCATTAACACAGGCTTTACTCCTTTCAAACTGTCATCTGGAATGTCACCGTTTCTGTCACTGCAACTTCCCGATCAGGCGAACGAACACACACACATGAAATAGTCTGCAATGAATTTTAAAAAATGTAGTTTGATGTGTAAATGTAATATTTGCATCATTTATGATTTATTTTATCCACCTGTGACCCACCCGCAAACAATCAGAATGCATTTTTTATTACCCGCCCCGCAGATTATCCACAGCGCCCGTAGATATAGGAAAAACAAAATCTGTTTGCTGCATAAATCAGACGGACTTACTGAAAATGCAAATTCATTCTCTGCCAGCAGGAGGTGCTTTAAAGAGGGAGAAACAGAGGTTTCCCCGGTAATGGCTGTACACAAAGCAGCGCTGAGCTCACAAATGCTGCTTAATCAGGCATATAACATGCAAGACGAAATGAAAATGACATCGAAAATTTTCTAAAAATAGTCTTCCTTCAGAAATACAGTGATATAAAAATACCCGTGCCTCGTTTTGATTTTTAAACGTGCAGTACGTGCTCATGTTTATTCAACTAAGCCTTTTGGAAAATCGGTCAGTTTTGATATTGTGGCGAGCGCCACAAATAAATAAATGTATGGGAAACACATCCCACATCACAACCACCTGAGCCCAACTTCAGTCTACTCATCACCTTAACTTTAACTGCGTTTGTAGCAGGCGCCATAGCCAGACTGATAAACAAACACAGACCGGAAGTAGTAAGGGATCGGAGCATCCCTAGTTTTCAATTTAAGGACCAGCTTTGTAAGGCATTTTAAAGTCCTTGAACTTGACAATATGTTGTTTGCATAAACCATGGTTACATCAGCTATTTACTAATTATCAGTTAGGGCAAAACTGACCTTGCGTAGAGACCTGCGAGATGTGGTGTTGGTCAACCTGCAAAAATGACAAAAGGTTTAGTTAGTGTAAAGTTTTCACATGGTATACCAAAAAATGTGTCATCCTTCATGTAGGAATCTCACCATTTTTTGTTTATCATGGCACATAGAGGAAAACGGTCGCGAACGAGCACATGTAAGCTTGTTCTCCGTATTGTCCTCAGCCATATTCAAATTTCTCTCTTCCACCTGAATACAGTATGGAAATATTTAGGATATGATAGTGTACACACATCAATGAACTTACAAAACTAAGCTAACATAAAAAATGAGAAATACAAGGAATCGATTGCTGAAATATTAAACCCATTAAATCATGTTTAAATGAACAGTGATCGATACAGATGTTATGGTTGCAATGTCTTCTAAAAATGTAAGTCTGAATGTCTCACCCTTTTTTGTTTTGAAGGACTGAACAAGACTTCCAGATTATGCTGAAGCTCTCGAGACAAGAGTGCTGGAGAGGGAGCTCTTGGAGGAGGAGGACAGAAAATAACTTCTGAATCCGAACCGTCACTTTTTCGATCCCATAATGTACTCACACGCTTAACCGGTTCAGGTGCTGTCTCCGGATCTGTCAGAACTGCAGGAGAAGGGCAACACAACTCAGTTAATTTAATTTATATAGCTCTTTTCTCAATACAAATAATTTCAAAGCAGATTTTTAAGCAATACAAGCATATTGGGAAGATACAAAAATATTATGTTAATAGACAAAGTGGTCAAATGTTAGTAATGATATTAGTACAGCTACTGCAATAAATTATAGACTGACCATAAGCCTTTCTCTTTTTGTTTTTCTTTTTCCATTTAGCCTTGTTCTCCTCTGACACTCCCTGAGGTTCAGACTCATCTGTTGCACTTAGCTCCTGTTTGGGGGTCTTAAGTGCAACAACTTTGCGTCGCAGGCAGCTACAACCCAACATGCACTGTGGTTTTCCACAGTGATGATGTCGCCTCAAGTGAACCAGACTGGCACACACACAGCCAAGCCTACAGAATACATTGAGGCAGGGTGGTGCACGTCGTCTTATAATTCTGATGGCATCAGGGTTTCCTTTTGATACCCCCTTAAAACAGTAAGAAAAAGAGATCAGGAAGAATGTAAGGTGTCTTAAAGAACATTCTGTTATTACTTATAGTCAAACTACACACTAAGATGAGCTCCACTTTGACTAATACCTCAGCGGTGACAAGAGTGGCTAGTGCGATGGCTGCCCTTTCTTCTGTGATAAAGGTACGATGTTTGCCTTCCCACACTGCTCCATCTTCCACATCCATCAGCTTCACCAAAGTCTTAGGCGAACCTGTAGTACGTCCAGCTGCACAACTTGATGGTGTGGAGCCAGAAACTTCAACCATGGGAGTCTTATTAGAAGCTACCTCTGCAGCAGTTTCAAGAGCAGGCTTTTCAGGACTCAAACTCTTGGATTCCTTCTTATTTTTAGATTTCTTGTTTTGCTGTGGCTTTTTCGAGCACAAAGCAGGTTTGTTAACACTAAAGACTGGTTCTGTTTGCTTTGCTGTACCTGACTTTAAGGGTTTTTTAGATTTATTTTCCTCTTTGGGCTTAAATGTTGGCTTGACCTTTTTGGATGTTGTGGATAAGGTAGCTGGTACTTGTTTCTTAAGTACACTATCCAGGGTACGAACATAACTAGTGCTCTTAGTGGGTAGCTGGTATGCTACAGGTGTAACATCAGCCTGGGATAAGGTTGCAGCTCGTTCATCTATCAGTTTGCCCTCACTGGCCAGGTACTCATCCAGCATGTCACTACAAAATGCAGAGAGGTTCTTCTGTCCTGCATCTGTGCTTGACATGCCTGCAAATAAAATGCAATATTCTTTTAGCAGCATCATCATTTCAACATTTTAAGTTACAGTTAAAATCATATTAAAGACATGTTCTTTTTAATGAATAAATGCTAAAATGGTATACCTTCAGTAGGGTTTCCTGAGCCAGAGAATTTGTCTCTCCATCCTTTAATTTTGGTGAAGTCAGTGGTTTTTCCTGTCCTTGAAACAAACCGGACTACAGAGGGAAAAATTCATGCAATGAAAACCTGAATCATAATTCATGCATGATTTATTTGCTTATTGATTGTTAATATTAATAAGATATGTGTTACCTTGAGATGATGCTGAACTTCCTTCAGGCGAGAGTACAGGTGGGGGTATGGGTAATTGCACACCCAGATATTGCAGGTCAATTTCCAGGGTGAGCTCAAGTAGATTCAACTTCAATCCAACTATGATGAGAGAAAATTTAAATTAAACCTTTACTGAACTGTTGTATATTGTACTGAAATACAATTGTGATATTTATAAAGAAGTTCAAAATCAGAAACCTTCTTGTAGCACCGGATGAATGACCTGTCTGTGCCTCATGACTTTCAGATCACGTAAAAGGATTTTCTCTAGCTCCTCAATCTTTTCTTCTACATTTTCATACCTGGCCCCTGTTTAAAAGCAAAATAAATAAATAAAGGGAAAAAATGTTTTTTTTTTATTTTTTTTTAAGTCACTTCAAAGTGGTTTCTTCACATTAACCATGATAGCATATTTAATTCTTACCATCAGGATTCTCTGTGTTTTTTTGTGCAGCCTCCGATTTGGCATCATCTCCGAGGTGAATCTCAAGAGCTTTCTATTTCAAAATGAAGGTATATAAACCACACATAATGTCACAAGGATGTACCGATAGAAAGCGCGCTGTACACCAGGTCAAATAAAAAACTATTGTTTAAGTAGCAAATCAAATAAAGTAAGAGTTGTCCATCAATTAAAATTCTTCTAAGTCAAAAAAATTTTTTGTATGAAGAACAGGCTAAATTCCAAATCATTACTAAAATGAAAGTAGTGCTGAAACCCTATTGTAATTTGTAGGATTTTTATTATTATTATTCCGCTCTAAAACTGATCGTGCAGACCAAACCGTAACCGTGCGTTCATACCGCTGGCGGCGAGAGCGTCAAAGTGGCCGGAAGTCATTCATTTTCAATGTGAGCCGGCGTCGAGCAGAGGCACGGTGCGTCTTGGTCAGTGAGGGCGTCAAGGAGAGTTGAAATCAGGTCAACTTTATGGTAATGAGCTATGACGCCATTCGGCGGCAACCAATTGGAATGTAGAAGTCCACCGCTTGAGAGGATTCCAGAGCACGCAGCCGACCACATTAGTTCCCAAGCAAAATGGAGGAGAGGTTGATTATTGCTGTGGCGGGTTTCCCATTAATCTACGACGTGTCCCTGTTTGCGTACAGGGACATAATTTTAAAAATGATGCATGGACCAAGGTGTCTGAGATTGTTGGTGTTCCTGGTGAGTTGCTGATGTGCATTAACGTTATACATTTTCTGAAAATAAGAGGGAATTTCATGCTAACTTTAGCGCCAGAGCATGCAAAACAGTGTTACTGCTGCAGAATATTTCTGACATATAGACGCATATTGGATTAAACGTAAAATAGGTGTTGTAGAGAGCTGCAGCCAATTTATTTATTTTTTTTACACATCTGATGGAGACCAGAGGTGTATGTCACATATTTTAAAATGAAAGCAGTCGCTTCTGCCTATTTTTTTTTCTACAAGGGAAAAACAAAAGTTCTACAGGCCTCTCTCATCTTTTTAAGTGGGAGAACTTGCACAATTGGTGGCTGACTAAATACTTTTTTTCCCCACTGTAAGTTATATAGTTCTTGTTCTATAACTGGTCTCCCCTGTGGTATTGTCAACAAATTGCTTAGCTGGAAAAAGTAATGATAAATGTCATTAGGCTTAAATATATATACAGTCAGTGGCACATGCAGCTATGCCATTTCAGACATAGCATGCAAACAAGCTATTCTGAATTGTGGGTAATGAGGTGTTTATATTGAATATGTGTTTTCTATATCAATAAAGTTCTTATCATCGACCAATTTCTTTCTTTCACATTTAAAATATTTCATGAGGTTAATGCTTGTGGTCAGTCTGCACAAGATCAACAAGCTTGTTTGCTTTGTGGCCACTTTAAATACAAGACAAGCATTCGATCTACGTCAGAGCGTCCACAAATCTTTCTACAGCGTTGTTGGCAGAGCGAATTTTGACGCTCTCGATGGCGGTGGTGTGAACGCACGGTAAGGCCTAGAGAGCTGAAACTTGGTCAGATCGTAGTAGTCTGTCCTTCTTCTCAGATCCAAAGACTTGCCCAAATCGGCCTATGGGGGGGGCGCAACAGTGATCGAAAAGCAAAACTGCTCATAACTCATAGAGCATTTATCGTAGACTCAAAAACCTTACATTTTTTAAATCCTTGGGTCAAAACACACAAAATGCCAGACGGATTCTCCCTACGAAGTCCGTCTTTTCCACAAAATTGAGTTATGACCAAAACCTACTTTTGTGAACTAGTCCTAGGTTTTTCGCCCGATCGGAATCAAACCACTGTAGAAATATTTTCTGGACGGTGAATATCAATAATTATCAAAAACAAATTTGACTCTCCGTCGCATAGGCACGTCAAAACATTTGAAATAGGCGGGACCAATTTTACTAAAATGGCTATAACTCTTGAACAGAATGGGGTATCTTCACCAAACTCGGTACACGTGAATGAGCTCAATCTTTGGTCAAATAAAAAATAATTGTGCAGCTCTACCACTTGGTGGTGCTATAAGATAGAAAAACAAATACTGCTATAACTATGCAACTGTTGGTCTGATCCGACTTGAAAATTGGTATGCAGTGTCTTGGTTGAAAACATGGTTGCCATTGGCCGAAGAAGTTTAAGCAACTATTACACAAGGTTAACAGAGGTCGACTGGAACAAACCCACACAATATGCATATCATTTGATAGATCTAATTACTACAACTTTGCCTCAAGAACCATTGCTGTCAATCAAATCGTTCATTAAATATTCACAAATATGTTAAAAACCTACTTTTGTGAACTAGTCCTAGGTTTTTCGCTCAATCTCGATCAAACCACTGCAGTAATAATCTCTGTACTCTTTAGATAAATAATTATCAAACAAAATTTTGTCGTTTGGTTAGCTACAACGAGGTCATTTAAAAAAGTGATTAAAAAAAATACCCAAAAGCCTATAAAACCTAAATGAAAACTCAAAACTTTACAAAACTTGAAAACATGTGTCAGATGTTTCTTAACAAGCATGCAAAGTTTCATGGAGATCGGACCATAGATGGCGCTATAACAGTACAAAAGTTTTTAAAACAATATTTCAATTGTAAATGACCTTAAATTGCAGACCATGTTCATATTTTCACACAAACCCTTGATCTTCATATCATATGACAGATCTCTTCATTCTGCACAACTTTGCTTCTAGGACCACTGCTGTCAATCAAATATTTCACTAAATATTCAAGATTATTTAAAAAGACTACTTTTGTGAACTATTCCTAGGATTTTCACTCAATCGCAACAAAACCACTGTAGTATAATTCTTTGGATTAATTATGGAGATCCATAATTATCAATAATATATTGAAATATACTCTTTGGTTAACTACAACAAGTTCATTTCTAAAGGGGCATTGCCAATTATGCCCAAAAGCCTATAAATCCTAAACAAAATCTCAAAACTTTTTGAGACCAGGGGCCCGTTCTACATACGACGCTAACTCAGTTAGCTGGATTTGATTGTTGACGATTTGGCATGATCTTGGATTGGTTGGTTCTTCGAAGCTCTTGTTGTCGTAGCAACAGGTCCGTAAACTTAAATCTGCTCGAGAGCAGGCTTATTCATGTAAACAAGATTAGATTGCATATTTTTAAGCAGAATTGATACTTAAAATCTGTCCCAGCCACCGTTACTTTGTTACAAGAGTATCCTACTGATCCAGGAACAATAATTAAAAAAATAATCATCATTTAAAAATGTATTTCAAAATAACATAGGCTAATAATATTGTGTAGCCTATAATACTACAGACACAGTTTTACTCACTGAAAGATTTATTTGTCATAAAATAATTACTTAATAATTGTATGTAGAGTCTTACACACATGCTATACAGATAATGTAGAGTCGTGAATTAATTTGAGTGGTGACACCTATTATGGGAGTGGCTTGATGGAGCGCAGAAGATGCATATAACATGATCTTGACCCATGAAACTTTAATGCTGTCATGTAACAAATTTGTTTCAAAGATCAAATTAAATGAATTGCTAATTGAAATAAAACTGTAACGTCTGTACAAATATTACAAATTGTGAATATAAATAACAGTGCACATTTATCTATTTTAACATTTATGTAGTTTTGTTCGTTTCCTTATAAAGTCTAGAAATTTGTCAAGTCTTTCGTCAGGTGTCTTTTTTTAATTATATGATGCCATTACGTTGCTGTCTTGCCGCCAGCCAATCGCTGCATTGCAGATCATGGTTTCGAGTATTGATACATAGCCCCTTTTAAACCAACCCATTAAAGGTTGGTTTAACGGTTATTTTAAATCATTGATTTAGGTGGTTACAGGCTTGCTAAATAATATGTAATGTCTTTTTTCATATTTGCTTAATTGCTTTAAGTGCTTGAACCCCGGTAATTGCTGCTTGCAGCTATATTTGGATTTGTATTTTCAAATATGGCATATATTAATAAACGTTGACCCAGTTTTGGTGTCAATAACGATTTACAGGAAAGGCAGGAGCAAATGACTTAATTGCGCTAACTCAGTTAGCTGGATTTGATTGTTGACGATTTGGCATGATCTTGGATTGGTTGGTTCTTCGAAGCTCTTGTTGTCGTAGCAACAGGTCCGTAAACTTAAATCTGCTCGAGAGCAGGCTTATTCATGTAAACAAGATTAGATTGCATATTTTTAAGCAGAATTGATACTTAAAATCTGTCCCAGCCACCGTTACTTTGTTACAAGAGTATCCTACTGATCCAGGAACAATAATTAAAAAAATAATCATCATTTAAAAATGTATTTAAAAATAACATAGGCTAATAATATTGTGTAGCCTATAATACTACAGACACAGCCAGTTTTACTCACTGAAAGATTTATTTGTCATAAAATAATTACTTAATAATTGTATGTAGAGTCTTACACACATGCTATACAGATAATGTAGAGTCGTGAATTAATTTGAGTGGTGACACCTATTATGGGAGTGGCTTGATGGAGCGCAGAAGATGCATATAACATGATCTTGACCCATGAAACTTTAATGCTGTCATGTAACAAATTTGTTTCAAAGATCAAATTAAATGAATTGCTAATTGAAATAAAACTGTAACGTCTGTACAAATATTACAAATTGTGAATATAAATAACAGTGCACATTTATCTATTTTAACATTTATGTAGTTTTGTTCGTTTCCTTATAAAGTCTAGAAATTTGTCAAGTCTTTCGTCAGGTGTCTTTTTTTAATTATATGATGCCATTACGTTGCTGTCTTGCCGCCAGCCAATCGCTGCATTGCAGATCATGGTTTCGAGTATTGATACATAGCCCCTTTTAAACCAACCCATTAAAGGTTGGTTTAACGGTTATCCTACTGATCCAGGAACAATAATTAAAAAAATAATCATCATTTAAAAATGTATTTAAAAATAACATAGGCTAATAATATTGTGTAGCCTATAATACTACAGACACAGCCAGTTTTACTCACTGAAAGATTTATTTGTCATAAAATAATTACTTAATAATTGTATGTAGAGTCTTACACACATGCTATACAGATAATGTAGAGTCGTGAATTAATTTGAGTGGTGACACCTATTATGGGAGTGGCTTGATGGAGCGCAGAAGATGCATATAACATGATCTTGACCCATGAAACTTTAATGCTGTCATGTAACAAATTTGTTTCAAAGATCAAATTAAATGAATTGCTAATTGAAATAAAACTGTAACGTCTGTACAAATATTACAAATTGTGAATATAAATAACAGTGCACATTTATCTATTTTAACATTTATGTAGTTTTGTTCGTTTCCTTATAAAGTCTAGAAATTTGTCAAGTCTTTCGTCAGGTGTCTTTTTTTAATTATATGATGCCATTACGTTGCTGTCTTTGCATTGCAGATCGTGGTTTCGAGTATTGATACATAGCCCCTTTTAAACCAACCCATTAAAGGTTGGTTTAACGGTTATTTTAAATCATTGATTTAGGTGGTTACAGGCTTGCTAAATAATATGTAATGTCTTTTTTCATATTTGCTTAATTGCTTTAAGTGCTTGAACCCCGGTAATTGCTGCTTGCAGCTATATTTGGATTTGTATTTTCAAATATGGCATATATTAATAAACGTTGACCCAGTTTTGGTGTCAATAACGATTTACAGGAAAGGCAGAAGCAAATGACTTAATTGACATCAAGCTTACCACAATCATATGGATTTGTTGGAATATGGGTGAGTTTTCATTTTTGGGTGGCTGGTTGCTTTTAAGTTTCCTTTCTACATTCTTAAGTTAATAAACATGTTATTTATGTTACCTTTGACATGAAGGAGACAAACAATCGGCCTTCAACGTCCTCCAGGCTGGGCTGCATTGGAACAGGTATGGGTCCTTCGAACACATCATTATCTTCACTGAACTTCAATTTTCCTGTTTTTTTCTGTTTTGCCTTAGATTTCTTGAAAGTGCTTCCATGAGAGGATTGTTTAGTTGGTTCTGGAATGATGTAATCAAAAACACTTGTCTCACAACTAACAGCAGACTGCACTTCAATAAGAGGACCTGTTCTATCGGAGCACTGACTTTGAAAGAACAAGCCAATTGTTTCCCTGGGATGCTCTGGCCCACTGGGGACACTTGGTGACAACGATTCTTTTGATGTTAGAGTTCCATCCAGAGTTAGATCTGTAACAAAATCAAGAATCTTTCTGGGAGGTACAGGCCTGTCACTGAATATACCTAGTGGGAAAAGGTCGGGAGAGGAAGAAGCTGTGCGATCCAAAAGTCTTTCTGGAAATGAATCAAGGGTCTTTCTAGGAGGTACTGGTCTTTCACAGAATAGACTTGGTGGAAATGGGTCAGGAGAAGAAGGAGCTGGGCTGGGTAAGGAGAAGGCTGGGGACAATAGGTCGTCTAATGGCAGGGAAAGAGATTCTTCATGTGTGAACAGAGTGTTTCGAGGGACTCCTTCCAAAAAAAGCTCAGTACAAGAGCCCTTGGAACGGTCTAACAGGCAATCAGACATAGAATAACTCTCAGCAACATCAGGAATTGAAGTAAGTTGCTGGAAAGGAATAACGCTATTGTCAGTACTAGATGGAACATCAAAAACAGATGTAGTGACAGAGGGGACAATTGGTGTGTCAGCAGAATCAGTGTTAACTTCAGGTGTAGTTTGTGAACAGGTGTCATTCACAGTGTCACATGTAGGGAGAGATGAAATGTCTGACTGAGACTTGAGTGTGTTGTCAAGATCTGGCATAGAAACAGCATCAGCATTATGAAACACACTAGAGATATTGTCAGGTGTTGGGTCATAATCAGGTTTGGAGGGAGAGGTAGTGTTTGGGGCATTTAATGGATCACTGCAAATCAGGGATTAACAAGTACATTACAGTTTGTGTGTTACTCATTAGATTACTCCTCTACTAGTTAGATGCAGTCCTGCTTGGCCTCTCTGCATAAATATGTGAGAGGACAATTCCATTCCAGGAATGCATGACCTTGTCTGTTGTCAAACTGTTTACACGCTGCTTGAAAAATGTTTGAATCACAAGACTGGTGTGTAGTGTATGGTGCTTAGTGGACTACATACATCACAAGAGGCTGTCCATCATAGCCCTCTAAGTAGGGCCTATTACATTAGCCTCAAGGTAATACTTGTGAGGGCACCTAAGTAAGTCCTAGACAAAATATATCTTGGACATAGTAGTCAAGCATATTCAACCCTGCTCCTGGAATGGTTCAACCTCACAACAGAGTTTTGTACACACTTGAATCATGTACACTTACAAATTACAGCCAGGTGAAAGGTTGAAACAAATATTTGCATGAAGGGGGCTACCTTGTACCTGAACAGTCTACCTCTGGCTAATAAAGTAAATGAAAAGTCTTGGTGTTTGGTCACATTCAAGTCAAGAGGAACTGTAAATATATGGAGGAACTGATACCAAGAATACTTTTAGCACTTAATGGGGATCTGCTGCCTTAAGAAGGGGAATTGATAAAAGATACTGTCATGGTACCTTGAACAGTCCATGGCAACCAGTGACTTTTGCCCTTTTTCCACATGGTATTAAATTGATTTCTATGATCTGATAACAAGGGGTTTGCTTTAAAGGGGTCAACATTAAATTTTGGGATGTGTTGTGTCTACCAAATTGCAGCTGCCCTCCTTATCCTCATTCGGCTGATTTCCCTTTCGCTCGTAAGCAGTGGAACATTGGTTTGTTCATTCAGTAGTATTTACATGCCACACTTGGAGCTCCCGAGAAACAGATTTAAGTGCTACGAGGAGTGTCTTGACAAAATCTGAACAAGTACTTACAGGAGTATTACCAGCTGAAAACAGTGATGTGTTTTGACTCACTTGTGATTGGATCACTGAAAACGCATATTAATACCAGCTGGAAACAAGGCCTTTGAGTAACATTCACCTACTGTCCTTGACCTGACTGCCACTAGTCTGGCTCAACCACTTGGTCAGTATACCTAGTTTTTTTTTTAAACAGTTCAGCGTATAAACCTCTGACTCAACCAATGTCTTGATGACTACCCACACCAAAATAGACTAGCTAACCAAACAAATCACTGCAACTTCACTATCATTAAATAATATGACACTTCCTCGTTCACTATCATCAAATAGTGGGGCTAAAACCAAAAGGTGAAAGAGAGTTAAATTAATCATGTTAGTTTCCAAAGAAATAATTTAATATGGGAGGTCCTGTGGTTTCTGATCATGAGGTTTATACATGTGTACACTGAATAGATACATGGGGACAAATGGAGGTATGCACGTAAGCAAGGAAACCTCTTTGGAAACAATCATTATTATTCTTGCACCTCCTTTTGGTGCCACTAGTTGCATCATCCTAAAAACAAAGTGATAGTAGTTTTAGTAGGGACGCTTAATGGTCAGCTGTAATAACAACATGTTTTATGTTGTCAAAAGTGGACTTAAAGAAATGATCAAATATGAATCATTTTTATAGGTTTTAATTTATCCCTAATAAAACTGCCTCAAATTAAGAATAAAAATAAGAAATTATTAAGGCCCGTTCACACCAAGCACGATAAATATAAAAATAACAATGAAGATACAGTTCTAAAAGTCGTTCTCAATATTAGAGTCCACACCACAGCTATAACGATAAAGGCACAGAGAAACGATATCTTTGGAATCCCTTTCAGAATTTTTTACAGCTGATGAACGATAAAAACATTGACAGCCAATCAGAATCAATCCTGCTATATCGAGGTCGAGAATTTAAAGCAACAGTGTGTGCTTACAGACGATATCGTTTGCTGGTGTGGACGCTAATATCATTATCTTTATAGTTATCTTTAAAGGCCCCCTGAAGTGCCTTGAAACATGCAGCGTTATTCTATGTGGTGACGTAATTTCAACTGAAACAGGAAGACAGGGCGGGACATAGAGCAGACCCGCCCCCTTTTCAAAATAGCCAACAGCGTTTGTATATCTGCTCTGGCCAGAGCCGTTGAGCTCGGTAAAGCCGCATTTGACAGCCACAGTCTAATAGATTACCCCCTAGATTCAATATGAAACTCCTACTAAAACAAAATAGTGATCATAATCATGCTGAGGCTATGTGGTTTTAGGCCCGGTCCACACAAACGCAGGTATTTTCAAAACTACAGCTTTTTCTATGCGGTTTGGCCGTTCGTCCACACGCAAACGCAGCACCAGGTCAATGAAACCGAGTGTAGACAGCGAAACCGGAAATTTTGGTTTGTGAAGTCAGAGCATGCACTGTTATCTCCGCCTACTGGAAACTTTTTCAGGCTTCTGATTGGCCAACATGGCTTTACGGTTGAGATTATATCGCCACCTGTTGGCTTGGCATGCTCTTGACAGTGCTTCATAGCATGCTTTTTCATGTGGACGGAGATTTTTTTTTAAAAAGAAGGAAAAACTGTTTAAAAAAATACCCGTGTACGTGTGGACATAGCCTTAAAAGCGTTTAATATAAGCCTACTCGCGCATCCACTCCGTGCGATCGCGTTTCTGGACCGGAGCCAAAGTCCAGATCAGAATGTGTGTGCTGCCGTGGTTTGAGTGACGCAATGTGAAACCCTCATTTGAATCGTTCCCTATCGCATACATTGTGCACTACGTGCCATTCATTGTGGGGTCAACATTAAATTTTGGGATGTGTTGTGTCTACCAAATTGCAGCTGCCCTCCTTATCCTCATTCGGCTGATTTCCCTTTCGCTCGTAAGCAGTGGAACATTGGTTTGTTCATTCAGTAGTATTTACATGCCACACTTGGAGCTCCCGAGAAACAGATTTAAGTGCTACGAGGAGTGTCTTGACAAAATCTGAACAAGTACTTACAGGAGTATTACCAGCTGAAAACAGTGATGTGTTTTGACTCACTTGTGATTGGATCACTGAAAACGCATATTAATACCAGCTGGAAACAAGGCCTTTGAGTAACATTCACCTACTGTCCTTGACCTGACTGCCACTAGTCTGGCTCAACCACTTGGTCAGTATACCTAGTTTTTTTTTTAAACAGTTCAGCGTATAAACCTCTGACTCAACCAATGTCTTGATGACTACCCACACCAAAATAGACTAGCTAACCAAACAAATCACTGCAACTTCACTATCATTAAATAATATGACACTTCCTCGTTCACTATCATCAAATAGTGGGGCTAAAACCAAAAGGTGAAAGAGAGTTAAATTAATCATGTTAGTTTCCAAAGAAATAATTTAATATGGGAGGTCCTGTGGTTTCTGATCATGAGGTTTATACATGTGTACACTGAATAGATACATGGGGACAAATGGAGGTATGCACGTAAGCAAGGAAACCTCTTTGGAAACAATCATTATTATTCTTGCACCTCCTTTTGGTGCCACTAGTTGCATCATCCTAAAAACAAAGTGATAGTAGTTTTAGTAGGGACGCTTAATGGTCAGCTGTAATAACAACATGTTTTATGTTGTCAAAAGTGGACTTAAAGAAATGATCAAATATGAATCATTTTTATAGGTTTTAATTTATCCCTAATAAAACTGCCTCAAATTAAGAATAAAAATAAGAAATTATTAAGGCCCGTTCACACCAAGCACGATAAATATAAAAATAACAATGAAGATACAGTTCTAAAAGTCGTTCTCAATATTAGAGTCCACACCACAGCTATAACGATAAAGGCACAGAGAAACGATATCTTTGGAATCCCTTTCAGAATTTTTTACAGCTGATGAACGATAAAAACATTGACAGCCAATCAGAATCAATCCTGCTATATCGAGGTCGAGAATTTAAAGCAACAGTGTGTGCTTACAGACGATATCGTTTGCTGGTGTGGACGCTAATATCATTATCTTTATAGTTATCTTTAAAGGCCCCCTGAAGTGCCTTGAAACATGCAGCGTTATTCTATGTGGTGACGTAATTTCAACTGAAACAGGAAGACAGGGCGGGACATTGAGCAGACCCGCCCCCTTTTCAAAATAGCCAACAGCGTTTGTATATCTGCTCTGGCCAGAGCCGTTGAGCTCGGTAAAGCCGCATTTGACAGCCACAGTCTAATAGATTACCCCCTAGATTCAATATGAAACTCCTACTAAAACAAAATAGTGATCATAATCATGCTGAGGCTATGTGGTTTTAGGCCCGGTCCACACAAACGCAGGTATTTTCAAAACTACAGCTTTTTCTATGCGGTTTGGCCGTTCGTCCACACGCAAACGCAGCACCAGGTCAATGAAACCGAGTGTAGACAGCGAAACCGGAAATTTTGGTTTGTGAAGTCAGAGCATGCACTGTTATCTCCGCCTACTGGAAACTTTTTCAGGCTTCTGATTGGCCAACATGGCTTTACGGTTGAGATTATATCGCCACCTGTTGGCTTGGCATGCTCTTGACAGTGCTTCATAGCATGCTTTTTCATGTGGACGGAGATTTTTTTTTAAAAAGAAGGAAAAACTGTTTAAAAAAATACCCGTGTACGTGTGGACATAGCCTTAAAAGCGTTTAATATAAGCCTACTCGCGCATCCACTCCGTGCGATCGCGTTTCTGGACCGGAGCCAAAGTCCAGATCAGAATGTGTGTGCTGCCGTGGTTTGAGTGACGCAATGTGAAACCCTCATTTGAATCGTTCCCTATCGCATACATTGTGCACTACGTGCCATTCATTGTACAGGAAACACTACACTGTGAACTAATCTCAGCCGCAGCTTCAGCATCTATTTATAGTGTGGGGGCAGGCGCTTCGGATTCTAGAGCATTTGATTGGTCAGAAGATTTGATGAGAACCTGAAGTACAAGGTGACCTAAAATTTTTTTTTTTTTTAAATCGCTGATCCATTTTGGCGGAAGTGACGAACTG